TACTTTCCCCTTTTGACAGTTGTAACTGACCTTTATTAATTTAATTGTGCAGGAAGCAAGATCAATACCAAATGTAGGAGAAATCATCAAACAACTAGAGCTTTAGTGCCTTAAGATTAGAAGCAATGTGAGACATCTTCATGAAGTACTCCCTTAAATTTGCTTTACCTTTATACTTTATTGAAACAACATTGACGGGAAACCAGCTTAAGCCCATAGATGGATTTCTTTAAGTTGTAAACCATCTGATGTAACTTAAGATCAGAATATGTCACAAATGTCATAATTGTCCTTAAAGAGTCTTTCGATGAAATTGGAGAGAAAGTCTATTTGTAGTCAATGCCTTTCTTTTGGGTAAAGCCTTTTAACTATAAGACGAGCCTTATATCTTTCCACATTACCATTCGAATAGAGCCTTATTCCTTTGCATGAATTGATGAAAGTTGATTGATCGAGTCTTCTTTCATCAATCCATGTCATCCTTATTTTCTTAGAGAGGAACTATAAAAACATCCAGAATTATCTTTCTCCCTTTTAATAGTGGATTTCTTTAATGACATTTGTTCTTGAGGTTGTTGAATTTTTTTTCTGGAATAATCTCTTGATTGTGTATAGAGGATTTTGTAATGCAGTCTTGATCCGAAATTGATTCTTGAACAAGATCTGGAGCTTGAATTTGTCCTTGAACCTGATCATTATCAATTACAATAGAGAAATATATACATATTCTTCATTCAAGACAAAAACATTAACCTTATAACCTTATCTCCTCCCACAATCTCAGTATTGTATGTCTTGAACATATCCAGTGTTTGTGATTCCTCATAGATGAAATATAGGTAGCAATAGTCAGAAAAATTCGTTTACGAACATAATAAATAACTGTTGACCATTCCAAGAAACCGAAGGGAATGGTCCACAGATATCCGTATGAATTAGTTCTAAGACGTCCGAAGTCCTAGACACCTAATCTCCTTATGTTTGTTTGTTTTCCCTTAATGCAATTAACATAAACACTTAAATCTGAAAAAATTAAGGGAATCAAGAATTTCTTTTGACACGAGATTTTCCATTCTCTTTTGAGAGAAGTGACATAATCTCTTGTGCCATAGCAAAGTAGAATTCTCATTGATTAATTTATGTTTAATACCACGCGGATTCACATACAAGATTTCTTTATAAGAGGCAACCATATTAAACATATATAGGTTATCGTTACCGAATAAAGAACTGGTGCTCACAATATTTGAGGTAATAAAAAGATCAAACTGACTATTTCAAATTGAACAAAAGTAACCAAAATTGTCAAATGTAAAAATTGAAACTAAATTCCGTCCAAAAGGACGGTACCGCAAATGTCTCTTTCAAATCCAAATAATAATCAGTCTTTAATGATAACCTAAATTCCCTATAGCCTCAACCTTAACTAATTTGCCATCGCCCCATATAGATGAATCTTTCAGCATCAATTGATTTTGGCAGCTCAGACAACCCGCACAGACACACTTATGTAAGTAATGATACCGAAATTTATCCACCAAGTGTGTATAGGTATTGATACTAAATTTACCTTAAAACAAACCGAAATGAGAAGTGTACTATTCTTTACACGTCAAGCATGTATTTAGTACAGTCTTTCTATATATATCCCAAATTTTCACAAAACAACTAAATTTATCATTTTCAGGCTTTTTGCTATTTATTTTAAAATCGAACCGGATTCAGCTTTGTTATTCTTTATTACTTGTCCTTAGAAGTATTCGCCAAGTGAGTAATGTGAGTTTTATTTTACTTTAGCATTTCTTCTTCTTGCACAGAATATGAAAATGAGCTCATTAAGAGTCTACTTTCCCCTTTTGACAGTTGTAACTGACCTTTATTAATTTAATTGTGCAGGAAGCAAGATCAATACCAAATGTAGGAGAAATCATCAAACAACTAGAGCTTTAGTGCCTTAAGATTAGAAGCAATGTGAGACATCTTCATGATGTACTCCCTTATGTTTCCTTTTCCTTTATACTTCATTGAAATCAAGCTTTGCAAAAGTGTACTTGTTTCAGTCTTATCGTTTTTTTGCAAAACGTTTCTCTATTTAGGTAAGAAAATACTTGGCATTAGTTACTTCTTCAGATACTGCGCCTCTAAAGGCTTTCGGAATGCCGCGCTTAACGATCATTAAATTCATACGATTTGAGCGTTCCCACTTCTCAAAGTTCCTCCTTTCATCAAATGAACTTTCTTCCATAAAAGGAGTGAGTTGCTCAACTAGGAGCGCAAGATCTAGATCCTCGCGGCCAAGAACAATCAATATGCTCTCTTTCCAAACCTTGAAGTTTGTTCCATTTAGCACATGAAAGGAGTTTATGTTGACAGATATTTCAGAAGTGGATGGATTAACTGAATAGAGAACTTATTTCCAATTAACATGTTCACATTGGAATCCGTATTAAACAGTTAATTAATTCAAATAATGGTAAGCCCCATCTCAAGATACTTAGCACAGCATTAATATAAAGTTTTTGGACAGTAATATTAATTGTAAGTGATACTTTTGGTATAGTGATCAAACAATGACAATAACTCCTGTCAAATAATAAACCGATCTTTGGATTGATTTATTATTCACATGGAAACCTTATAATTGTCACATATTTACCACCACAAGTGTGCATGCAATTCGGTCAAATATTAATATTCCTTTGGGCCGGCTAATATCCACATGAACAAGCATACAAACGAATTCCTTCTAACATTCTAAGTTAATTACATTTCCACAATCGATGTTGCTTTGACAACATATTACTTCAATCAATTTACTTTCGAATATTATATTCCCAAATGAGTCCTTAATACCAAAATTTGAAAAGCAGAACACTTAATTTTATTTATCTTGAAACTTTAAGGGGCTAAAGGGTTAATAGTTCAGAATTTTAGGGACCAAAAATTAATTATCCGGGACTTTATGGGTCAATAGTAAACTGTTGGAAACTTTAGGAGTCAAAAAATTAATTATTCAAAAACTTTAAGGACCCAAAAATTAATTATTCAAAACTTTAGGGGTCAAAATTAATTAATTAATTTTAAACTTTTTGGGGTAAAAAAATAAAATTTAAAACCTTTTGTGGCCAATTAGAACCCAATAAGAAACTTTGAGGGCTTTAATAGAAAAATGCAGAACTAAAATTGTCCAAATTAATTAATTTTAAAACTTCAAGGGCTGAATAGTTTAAACCCATAACCTCAAGGCCCAACATAAATAAATTTTAAACTTTATGGGCTGAAATATTTAAACCCAGAACTTTAAAGGCCCAATTGGATGAATTTTAACCTTATGGGGGTTGAAAAACCAAATCTTTAAACTGCAGGGGCTAAAACATTAAAATTAAACCCTAATTTGAAATTGCAAACAAGGGCCCGAACACATCAAATTTACAGCTCAAGCCCCCCCCCAAATTCCAAACTGAAAATGAAAACATAATAGAGATGCCCATTGACTTCCCTCTCCCTTGGCGGTGCCGTCCAACACTGCCAGGGCCACATGTGGCCGGGGCTGCCTCCCTAGACACCCATGGCTCCTGCTGCTGCGCGAACGTGCTGCTGTTCAGCAGCGTGGCCACCACGCTGTTGCAACAACAGCGTTATAGCTATTGCTGTTGCAGCTGTGCTGTCGCCGACATCAGTGCCGACGACATCAACATAATTTTTTTTTAAAAACAACAAATCTTTAAAAAATTTCTCATTTTAAAATCCAAATTTATGAAGAAAAACTTTAATAATGGACGAAACATGAATATTATACCAAATCCATATAATAACATAATTGATTTCATAAAATAACATGAAGATCATATATCCCAAAAAAAATTCAGAATTTTAAAACTTCAATTTCTCAAAGATTCAACAATGGAGAGGCTTTGATAGCACTTGATAGAAAAACAGAAAATGATTGTCGGTCCAAAACATTATCAAACCCAAAAATTCACAAACCCTTTTTACACATACAAACCATCCATGTTGAAATCAATTAGAACAACTAAATAAAAGCGGAAGCGTACCTTGATCCATATGTTTGATTGTTTGCCTGAATGAGTTAAGATCTTCCAATTTAATTTGTGATATTCTCTTCAATTTCGATCTCTGCTGATGGGGATGCAAAAAATCTTGAATAACACATCAAATTGGGGACCATGACCCCATATAACCATAAGATAATGAATGGTCATTATTTTTAATTTGTTTTAAATCGGCCCCTCATCAATCTAAAACAAATATTCGATTTCTACACTTTAATTTCATGAAACCTAATACCCATTAGTCAAAATTCATCTTTAGTGGATCACTTTAATTGACTAATTTTCTTTAAATAATAGCACCACACATTTTAATGTATTACGTGTAGCCCCAAATATGTTAGAATTTTCCAACACCCATAACTCTACTGTTATCAGATTTTCAATACAATGTTGCAATTTATTGTATATTGTAATAAACAATGTCCCTTCCATGTTGTTAGTGTATGGCTGTAATCAAGTTTGTTAGCGTGTGAAAAACAAATTCTTAGCTTTCCAAAAAGTAAAACAAATTCTTTGCTTTCCATAAAGTTTAAGGGTGTGTTTGGTAGGGATTTTTTGGGGGAAGAATTGATTTTGAATAGTGATATGATGGGAAATGTGTGGTTGAAAAAGAAAATAAGATTATTGATGTGATAGAAAATATTATTTTATTGAAGAATGTGTGGTTGAAAATGAGAATTGATTCACTGTTGAAAATGAGAATTGGTACCAAACATAGTAAGTCTTGAGTCTTGGTCTTGTCATCTGTAGCTTTCTAAAAACGCAGATTCCTTGCTTCAGAAGAGATCATGCGTCGAGTATAAATTTCTGACAAAGTTAACATTACTTTTACTTGCAATACTTCTGTCACAAAACTGTTTGGTCAAGACAAGTCAATTCACTCTCCAAAGCCGATCACTACCGAAAACCACCGTTGTCACCACCGCCATGGACAATGTTGCCGCATCTACTTCACAGCAGATTGAGTCTAGAGAAATTGGGATTTCCGAGCATCTCTCAACTTTGTCTCTTAGTGGTGAACAAGAACTGGGCACTGTTGAAGTTCATAGACAAGAGAAGGACCCCAGAATAAAAGCTAGAAAGTATAATCATTTTTCTCTCCTTTTTTAATTTTTTGTACGTTTATATTTTCATTCACGCTGCTTCATTTTCTGTTGAATTGGATTTGTGTGCTCTGAAGCAAATGAATAAAGCATGCTGACAGAATGCTGAAGAAGTGAAATAAAAAGAAGAGAAAACAATGTGAATTACATTTTAGAAATTGTGGGTGCAGTTCAATTGCTCTTGTTTTGTGTTAATCTCTTTGATTAAGATCATCATTTTGCTTGGCTTTTGAGGACATTAACCGAAGTAATTGAAAATCACTTTTCTTTCTTCCTTTTTATTTTTCTCTCAGTTGCTTTGCTTGCCAAAAACTTAAAAGTTCATACTGCGCCAAATAGACATTTTCTGGAAGAAAATAAGTTTTGAAGGAAATTGGAAGCCATTTTTCTTTGCCCAGTTGCTTATTAATTGGAAAGTCTATTCTTTGCAATTTTAATTGTGGAAAACAAAATGTAACAAGTGATGTTTACAGCTTACTCAATAAGTACATTTACCAACAATGCACGCTGAGCAACACCTTATATATCCTGAACAATAACGCAAGATTAGGCGCAACAAACATTTTTGGTTTGCCAGCAACTGGGTGTACAAGCTAGAATGAATTGTCATATAATGTCGATTCTGTGAGGTCTTGTCATTGGTTCTTAGAGAACAAGGCACATGTGAAAGTGTGTGTCATGCTCATCTTAGTTACTGCATTCTTAATTACCTCTCACTTTTTTTTTTTTAAATAACAGGTATCAGACGGACCTTTGTAAGAAAGCATTGGAGGAGAACATTATTGTATATTTGGGAACAGGTTGTGGGAAAACACATATTGCAGTTTTACTTATGTACGAGATGGGCCACTCGATAAAGAAACCCCAGAAAGACGTATGCATTTTCCTTGCTCCCACTGTGGCTTTGGTTCACCAGGTTTCTATCATCCCTTTTTGCATTCTCCATTTGTTATAACTATATTGGAACTAGATTGATGGATTCTGTAATTTTACATGTAGCTTTGCTAATATCCCCAAGGGATTAGCCAGTAGTGCCAGTTGATTGAATGGTTTTTATCAATCTATGTAGCCCATATCCCCCAGTTTGTGTTATGTTCACATGGTTCTCTCTTTCTCGTGAAGCAATGATGTTGATGCTTGAGCAACACATCGTAAAGAAAGGGTTAATTTCATTTATGGTCACTGAATGGGTCGTCCAACTTTAATTTCTCGCCATCAGATCCCTAAACTTCAATTTACTTTCGATGTTAACCACTCTTAGCCCTTGTTCCTAAACTTAATATTGTTTCAACCCTCAATTAGCCCTCCGTTTTCACGTATATATGACATGTGTAGCCCTTATTTGGTAGGAATTAAAATCTAAATTTTAATCTAAATCGAAGTTAACAATTAATTATGATCACATATTCCATGAGACTCACGACTTTTCAACAATACATTTCATCAATTTTTATCAAAATCTACTAAATATCTTATTTTAATCTCCATCAAACAATGGTGTAACTGTGCTCTGACAGCAAAATCATGAAATTGGGGAAGAATAAGTTTCTAGTATGCTCCGTTGGATGAATTGTCATCAATATTTAAACACGATTTATTTTATAAATTTATATCCATGACATGATTATGTGGCATATTTACTGAAAACATGTGACACGTTAGATTGTTGTCAATTTTTAACTTAGGAAGAGTAACTAATATTGTAAGTAAATTCTAGTTCAGTTCAGTTCGACGATATGATTATGATAAATTGAAGTTGAGTGACCAAATTAAGATTGCATTGAAAGTTCATTAACCACAAATGAAATTAACCCCATAAAGAAAGGTCCATTGACAGAATACATGTAGAAGACTTAACTTAGCCCCTGGGCGAGATTTTGATACATGATTTTAATCAAATTTGTTGCCGTTACTCAGGTGTGTGTTAGTGAAGGAGCAGTAATTATTGACTAAATTCTGTAAAATGACTAATGTACCCTTTAACATTTAATTCCTTATTCAGCAGATAGGGGCATTTTTGTCTTTGGATCATTGTTGAGTTAACAATGACTACACACATGGGACCCACCTTTGTGTCCAACGTGATTAAAATTTTCGCAAAATTGCTTCCAGACAGCCGCTTAAAAATGGTTCCATTTATGATTTGATAAACTCTACAAGCAATTGCGTATAGACAATGGAAGAAAAAGCTGGATTCATTTCGTTACTTTGTCGACAAAGCATTGTGATCAAGCGGATATAATGTTTTAGCCAAAAATAGAATGACAAGCTAATCACTAAGGGTGTATTATAAACTGCTTCTTTGTTACTTGAACATCTTGTAATGATAACCAATTTATGAGATCTTAGTATCATGCTATTCTAGTATGCATGCGTTCCTGTGTAGACTGTGGCTACGCATTCTCGTTGCACCATTTTCCCTATTCACTCCACCCTAAATCACCTTTATAGGTTTTAATTTGTGAAGACTGGTCAACTTCATTTCAACAATGCTTTTGTTTTATTTTTAGACTAACTAGGTTTTACTTTTAAGATTCTATATTAGAAATTTTTTTCTGGAAATTTTTTATGTTCTACTCTGAAACTTCTCGTCTGATATTTACTTCTTGATTGAAGCAAGCCAAAGTCATAGAAGATTCTGTTAATTTCAAAGTTAAGACATACTGTGGGGGTGGGAGTTCAAAGGGTTCAACGAGCCATTACCACTGGGAAAAAGAACTTGAAGAATATGAGGTTAGTTAATTAATTTTGAATCGTATATGGTATTAGGATCAGTATTCTCAGGTTACTTGTAGAATGATACAAGTAATCATTTCGCAGTAAGTTGTAGTTCATTTACACTGTCATAGTTGTAGTCTCCCTGGGCTAACCCATTCTAGTGCATCGTTGAAATGGTTTCTGATTTTCCAGAGTACAATGTTGAAACCTTTAAGGTTTCAGAATTTCCAGGATACAATGTCGAAATCTTTTAATGGTTTCAGATTTTCCAGATTGTAACAACTTACTCTCTCATGCCTGACCGTTCTTCTTCTTCTTTTTTTTTTCTTTAGGGTGTGTGGTTTGGTAGTGGTTGTTTTGTGGTGGTGTTGTAGGATATCCAGTGAAACTAATCTCTTTTGTGCCTTTTTAAGAATATGTGCTAAATTCCATCATTGTGTTTTCTCGTGCAGGTTCTTGTTATGATACCTCAAATACTGTTGTTCAATCTAAATCACTGCTTTATCAGGATTGAGCAAATTGCCCTTCTGATATTTGATGAATGTCATCATGCACAACTTGAAAGCAATCATCCTTATGCTGAAATCATGAAGGTTATATAAGCTGCTGATCAATTTTTCGATAATAAGCTAAAATCATCACGTATTTATCTGTATGACAATTATTATTCCTGTAACATAATTCGTTTAGTTCGTGTTTCCTGATTATTGACATATGGATGGTCAGATTTTCTACAAACCAGATGCGGCAAAACTTCCCCGCATATTTGGCATGACAGCATCTCCAAAATTAGGGAAAGGTAAGTCAATGGTGCAAGTTTGGCTCTTCAATCTTGTCTCTCTTTGGACAGATGTGGTAGCACAATTATTATTTTTCGATATATGCTGCCTCCACCTTTACCAGGTCCTACTGTGTTCATACGTAAGTTTTGTACTTAATCGACTTCGCAATCGATGGGGTATATTTATAAGCTTGAAACATTCAATTTTGCACCTATAAGAAAAGATATCATTTTTTGTTGCTCATGTGGCCGGGGCAGTAAAGTAAGATTTATAAGTTTTGGTGCTATAGTATTTGGATGAAATGAACTGTGTTGCATTAAGGATATCTTCCATGTGCATGGACTACTCTGCCCATTAAAATCTTTTGGTGAAGCAATTTGTTTTTTCTTATTGAGATAGTTGCTCCATTTGGCCTAAAAATATCTTCCTCTATAAAAGCCATAGAAATTTGAAGTCTTTCCCCATGCTCATTGATTTGTGAACTTATCTTGTATCCCACATCGTGTTTTCTAAGTAAAATAATGTTATTAAACCACTATTCGGTGTGGCATTGTGATATGTTTAATTAAATGTGGAATTATGTGATTCATTTAATTAAAAATGTAATTTAATGTCACTGGCACTTACTCCTAAACTGGTGTTAAGTATCAATAGTGTTAAACATCATTACTCTTTTAATTTAAACCAGGTCTCTCGAATAAGTGGACATGTAAGACTCCTAAGCTAAGTTTGTTAAATTTCTTGATGCCTTTGCATTGGATACCTTTTGGTTTGGCTTGAAACTTTTGTTTTATCTTGGAGTAATAATATTTAGCACCATTGATGTTAAAACACCAGCTTATGTGGCATTAAACGAGAAGTATAATTAAAATTTTACTTTTCATTGAGCCTATCATTTAGCTCCACTTAAACTGGTGTTGTAGCAGCAGTGAAGCTATGTAGTATTATTCTTTATCTTGTGCAAGAATATGTTTAGATAGGAAATCAAGAGGGGTGTTTCCTTTTTCAATAAGTTAATTTATATTAACTTGTCCAAATAGAATCACAGATACGTTTAATACTCTTTTTTGATAGATAAAAAATATAATTTTATTAATAATCTGATAACGGTACAAATGTGAGAATAAGGTGTCTCTTAAAATATATATATAAAAAGCAAGTTTAAAAAATAAAAAGGTAAATAGTAGCAAAGGTCTCACTCTTTTTGCAGCTTCGTGTCCAACATTTTATTACACAACTAGGTCCCCAACCTTTTGATTAATTGGCGGCATTCATCTAAATGAATGGTTCCATCCAATTTTCCATCAAAATATTCAAAAGGGTAAAAGGTCAATTCATTATTTTTAATTAAAATATTAAAAAATAAGTTTCCCCCTTATTTTAGTTTTTTAAATATTTTATTTAAGAATAATGAGTTGATCATTTTAAATATTCTGGTCATATCCATGGAAACCATCCATTTGGATGAATAGTGCCAATTAATCAAATGTTGAGATCCAAGTAGACAAATAAAAGGTTGGGGACAAAGTTGCTGCTATTTATCCAAAATAAAAATCGAGAATACATCACATTTTTCCAACCTAGGACAACTGAAAATGTGCACTCTTATACTAGTTCTAAACAAAAAACGTTTCATGACAACCCAATAACTACATCCTCTTCTACTTATTAGTTTTTTTTTGTCATCTAAAGAATTGAGAGTTAATTGATCAATGATCACTGAATTTTGCTATAGGTTATTACTTCTTCATCGAAATTTAAAAAATTGCTTATTACTCACTGAACTTTGCTATCGGTTACTACTTCCTCATTGAAATTTAAAATGTTACTCATTGCTCACTCGAATTTGAACAAAATTACCCATCAATCACCCATTTCATTTCCATCAGTGTTACTTATAGCAAAGTTAAGTGAGCAACGAGTAACTTTATTCAAGTTTAAATGAACAAAAAGTAACTTTTTAAATTTCGGTAAGTAGTAATCTATAACAATGTTCAGTGAACGAAAAGTAATTTTTTAAATTTCGATGAGCAAGTAATAGTTCAGTGATCATTAACTAAATTAATCAAAAAACTAGCTGATTAGTTTGATCTCATAATCTTCTTCCCTTACCCATCCTTTATTTCTTAGGGCTCCTTTGTCACTTTTTCCTTCATAGTTAGTGGAGCTTTTCATACTATATTTAGGTGGCAATTTATTAATCTTTTTCCTCTGTGTCCTTTTCGTCACTCTCATACCCACCGTTTGCAGTACTCATAATAAGTGAGTCAGATTGCGTGCCTAATGGGTCCATCACTTGCCGATGTACATGAATTCCCCTTGGAGTTTTACAGTCGAGAAGATGCTGTGAAGCCTACACCAGCTTCTAAGCTATCAGTAACTAATAAAGTGTTCATCACTTGCTCATAGCACATGTTTATTCATAAAAAAATCTCTCCTTTTTTTTTTTTGCCCCAGAAAATGTACCTTGATATTTTCTCATAGACTTTCATATTGTACTGACATTCCCTTGTGCTATTCAGGGGGTTCAATTGATAGTCTCGAAACTTTACTGCATGCAAAGGTGGGCTATGAAGGCTTCCAGTAATTTAAACATTGAAGTTATTTTGTACTCTGAAATAAATAATGTAGAATATAATTCTTTGTTTTTCTCGTTTCCCATACAATCGACTGACTTGTTTCTTGAACTAAATTGCTGGTCCGCCTCTCCATCCTACAAGTTCTGTTTGTTAATTGCTTAGTCATTTGATTTTCTCTCTCATTCCCAGATTTGTTCTGTTGAAGACAAGGATGAACTGGGAGAATTTGTAACAACCCCTAAGATAAATGTATATTATTACAACTCAACCGAAAATGGCTACTCTTGCCCTCGAAAGATCTATGCCAGAAAGCTTGAGGAGATAATGCACCAGGTATGTCATGGCTATACAGAATAGTCGGTAAACTCATTACATGTGAACAACTAGATAGATTTTTCTCTGGTATGGCAGTGCTTGTCAGCTCTCCGGATGGATACAGTTGACCAGACTCCTGTCAAGAACACCAAAAAATTGCTTCAAAAGCTGCATGGTAACCTAACATCTTGTCTGTCAAACCTTGGACTATGGGGGGCATTACAGGTAAGTGATCAGTAGTTATAGGTGTTCAAAAGCTGAATCATTTCCCTTCTTGTATTTAATTGATTTGCCACACACGATAAGCACGGGATATTTCACTTGACGTGGCAAAGAAGAAAAATATTTCCGGCTTTATCGCTTGTCATTCTTCAACTTCCTTCCTTCCATCAAAATTTTTTTTTTGTCTTAATTGTGTCATTGTTGGGATTCTACTAATTAGTTCTTGTTGTCTTCTCTGACATCCCAAAATTATTTTGAGAACCTAAGTTATCTCGACTTGCCAAGTTCGATGGACCCATGTTGAGACATCTAGGAATAGTCTTGCTATGGAGTATGTGTTGGATTAGGCAACTGATGGCTCAAGCTCCCCCCACATAATCCATAGAAAGACGGAGGAGAAAAATCCTACCAATCAGAATGGCTAATTTGATGTGTAATGGCCTGAAAATGATGGAATCTTAGATAATAAATTATAATTGCACTGATAATGCATACTCGTTCACCCAGATCCGGTATTTGGATACTTGTTGGCCGAGTTCACATATTATAAAGTAATAATTATGTTGAGTTGGACGGTTACACAAAACCCATACCTCGCACTGCTAGCTGCATCATGTTGAGCAGATGAGAGCCTTAGCTTCCTTGGCACTCACATTTATACAGTTCTGAGTTGAATCCTTTACATGAAGCTGGACATTTGGAAAGGTTTTCAGTATTATGTCATTCTGTTTTTCTTTTTCACTTACATTTTATCCTTTTCATTTTTGCACTTAGTAGTTGTATGTTGTGCCTTGTCAATTGATATGGTCATGCTCATGAATGAAAGGGAAGTGTTGGAGCTTGTGTTAAAGTTGTAAAAACATTTTCAAGTAGTATAGCATAACCCAGGATCGCATTCTCTCATTTAATTATGAATAGATATTGAACTTGATGGTTTATAAATCCTTAGTCCCAAACTTATTTAAAATCTTCAATGTTTAGTATTGCTCTCTGCATCTCTGAAATAGGAAAAGAAGATGAAAGTGGTTTTTATGAAAAAAAAGAAAAAAGGAAAAAAGCAGGCTCTCTGTCAAAAATTTCTCTCTAAATTTTTATTAAGGCTCAGGTTATATAGATTCTGTGATTTGTAAAAACACTGCCAGATACATAACTAAATGTTACTGCTAGCAACCTCATTTTTATTTCTTTCTTTCTGCAAGTCACTGATTTGAGATGACAGAACTTCTAATTCTTCCTTTTGCCCTTTCCCAAAGGCCAGCTACATTTTCTTGAAAGATGATCAGCGTGAGCGTTCTGAGCTGGTGGAGGCAGAAGGGAATTGCAGTGACTATTTATGTAACAAATATTTGAATCAGGTTGCCTCAATGTTTGCTTCTGATTGCGTGGAAGGTATTTCACATATGCTAGCCCCACACAACCCCCGTTGGTTTCTAATCATTATATTTTATTTTTGTGGTTGCCTTGCCTTGATTTCAAAGCATTATACTGTAAAAAATATCAATTAAAGTATTTCTTGTGTTTAAAAACTATGTTGATGAACATTGCTACCTATTAAGGAGTTGGCTTTGCTTTTTCTTCTTTTTGTTTATGTAATGCTAGTAAATAATTCCTTTTGAAAATTTACATCTGCTCTGTTGTTAATGAAAGGATTCTGGCCCTAACGTTAATGCAGATGGCAAGGAAATTGATTTATCCTGCATGGAGGTTTTGAGAGAGCCATTTTTCTCAAGAAAGCTCACACGGCTTATTGACATTCTCTCCAATTTTAGGTTAGTAAATAAGTGGATCTGCATTTGTTACCACCCTTAATGTCAAGCGGAAAATACTAAGCAGAAAAAATTGAACCATTGTATCTATATGGCTTCTCTGAAGTTATAACATGAATACCATTGGTTAGCTTTAGAGTAAGACATGATATTTGAGTATTCATTTTCATTTTTTGTTCATTATTCTAACTTCAATAGGGATCTGAAATCTAAATTCCCAATAAAAATGTTATAGAAAGTAATGCTATACTCTGGATTGCTGGAAAGATTATGAGAACTATGCTCCTTACACACGTTTGTTGTATACATATACTAAATGATGAGAAGATAATGGGAAAGAACATGAATATACAAGTTTTAAAATTATGGCCTCCTAATAAGTTAATTTTATACTCTTCATATTGAGTTCATTCTTTTCACTTCATAGTCACAATTTATTTTTCCTCAAACAGGTTGATAGTGAGCCTGGCATAACTTTAAGCTATGTAGGTCTACTATGATTAAGTTGGCTAACCCTCATATACCTGGAAATGGAAAGATGTAGGTAGTTATACGAAAACCTTATATGTTTCAGTGAAAGAGATTCTATAATGCTGTGAAATTCTGTTACTCATATTTTGACAGTCAACTGAAATTCTTAGTTGATCCCCTCCCCTCCCCTCTTTGTCATTCTTTTGTGCCGTGTGAAAATTAGAAATCAATAATCTTTCAGAAATTTATGAATTCTAGAACTCTAAAAGAGATGCACTTTTGAGTTGTTACAGCTAAGACTTGTTTTGGCTGTTGCAAGTTTTAGACTAGATGGTCAAACAAGATTAGACTCCAACCAGCTGTTTCTGTCCTAATATTTCTGCATCCTTTTTTTTCCCCCTTTCGAATTTTGTTTTATGAAAAGGTTTATCTCACTTGATATTTTTAAAAGAACGTGGCCTAGTGCAAGCGACATGTTTATCTAATAAAACTTTGTCAGCTTGTCCTCATTCACTCTGTTGTCTCATACAATCTGCACAGCACCCTCAAAAATAAAATCAATCTATCAACAGTTTTTAGTTAAGTGAACTTTTTGTAAGATAAATAACTTGTTCAATCCATTTTTCTTCATAACAGCTTGTTATAGGTAATTATTATCCATTATTAAGTCAATATCTTTATCTATATCATTTCTTACATTTGTCAACATCATTTGATGCATTTATGCCTAAGAGATTTTCTTCTTTTCAGATTACAACCAAATACGAAGTGCATAGTTTTTGTCAATAGGATTGTGACTGCAAGATGCATCTCGTCTATACTTAACGACCTTAAGTTCATATCATCTTGGAGGTGCAATTACCTTGTAGGAGTGCATTCTGGACTCGAGAGCAAGTCACGTAAAAATACAAACATCATTCTTGAGAAGTTTCGCTCTGGTGAGGTGATGTTTCTTATTCTGATCACGTTTTTCTTTTTCCACTTCCATTTACGGGCAGGTATAAGAATTCTTTGACGAACTGTTGGGACGTTGTCAGCGTACTTTCATCAAATAGTGTACAGTGATTTAATTGTCTAGCATCAAGAATTATGGTACAAACTTTCTCTATACAGCTTAACTTATTTCTATTTTCCTTCATCGAATAATTTTGGCAGATAAATCTATTGATTGCAACAAAAGTGGGTGAGGAGGGACTTGATATTCAGACATGTGGCCTTGTTATACGGTTTGACCTTCCAGAAACTGTTGCTAGTTTTATACAATCTAGAGGTCGTGCACGTACAGCCCAGTCTGAATATGCAATTTTATTGGACAGGTTCTTTGACTAGCACACAATATATCCAAATCCATTTTTTAGTTTTGTTTTATAGACAAAGATAAATTTTCGACACCCATAACACGACAGGGGCAACCCAGAGGAGGTCAATTTGATAGAGCATTTTACAAAAGCTGAAGCTCAGATGAATGAAGAAATTTCATCCAGAGAAAACTGTGAGATGATAAATTATTTTGAGGAAAGAACCTATAAAGTGGATTCTACCGGGGCGACTATTAGTTCTACATCAAGTATCTCATTGCTTCACCGTTATTGTTCGAAGCTTCCTCATGATGAGTATGATGCTATTTTACTTGTTATTTTGTCCTTTTTGCCCTCTAACTGCGAGTCAGTATTAGGAAATTCTATCACATTGTGCTCCCTAAAACTTTTCACTTGCATAATTATATCTCTTTTAGGTACTTCATCCCAGAACCACAGTTCTTCAACTACGATGATGCAGATGGAATGCTTTGCAAAATAATTCTCCCTGCCAATGCTCCAATTCATGAAATTGTCAGTGAACCACAACAGTCCACGGACACGGCTAAGAGAGATGCCTGTTTGAAAGCATGTAAAGCATTGCATGAAGCTGGTGCTTTGACAGATTATCTCTTGCCAGAACAAGAAGATAGCTCCGAGGACTCAACTCAGGATTTCTCTGATTCTGACAGCTGCGATGGTTATGGACATCCTTATACATGCATTTTACTATCCTTAGTTATGGCGCTGGTTCTATTGACAACTTATTACTTTTCATACAGATGACGAATCAAAATACGAACTCAATGAAATGCTTGTTCCTGCTGCCCTAAGAGACCCTTGGATAGAAATGGAAAATTCCACTCGTTTAAGCTCCTACATTATCAAATTTTGCCCTAACCCTGTGGATAGAGATTATAAAAGTTTTGGTATTTTCATGAAAGTGCCACTCCCAGAAGAGGCCAGGAAAATGAAGCTTGATCTTTCTTTGGCTCGTGGTAGATCGGTAAAGACAGAGCTTATACCATCTGGAGTCGCTAGCTTTGATAAAGAAGAGGTATGTTCAGCTTTCGAGTGACCCCAAATTAATGGGAGTAAGACTTCTTGTTTTTTTGCAGCTGTTGTTGATTGAGGTAGGTTCTGCTTCTTGTAGTCAAATGTTCAGCTTGCTAAAATAGCTTACTTTCAAAAATTTATAATTTGGATCCCACAGATTGCATTAGCAGAAAAATTCCAGCGAATGTTCCTCAAGGTCATCCTTGATCGCTCTGAATTTATCCCAGAATATGTACCGTTAGAAAATCATGATATCTACCAGCCAAGTTCATCAACCTTCTACCTAATGCTACCTATTATTCAGCACGAGTACAACAAAATTTCTGTAGACTGGTCGACGGTCAAAAGATGTTTGTCGTCACCAATTTTCAGATACCCAGGAAATAGTGGGAAAGACGAAATTTGTCAACTTAATGACTACTTGCATCTTGCCAATGGTCAAAAAAGTAAGAATGATGTCATGAACAGTTTGGTGTATGTCCCACGCAGTAATAAATTTTTCTTTATATCTGATATTGTTCCAAAGAAAGACGGATACAGCTCATACAATGAATCAAAAAATCATATGGAGCACTATATTGAGACGTAAGTGATTTTCTCTCCACTTTATTTTTGATCAAGTGTTTTTGTCATCCCTTCAATTCAATGTTTGCACTGTAACAGTAATGACTCTAATTCCAGGTTGTACTACACCTGATTTTATATGTTTAAAGAAAACTGTGTTCTACTTATTTAATTAGTCATAGATGGGATGCTGAAGATCTTTTAAGCTGCAATTGCAACTGCTCACAAGACAAGCTGGATTTCTAATACTTCTACATTTAAGTTATGAAATAATAAGAATGCAAGTTATTTTGTATAGTTCTGCAATCTTGTATTGAAGGAATGGTGTTTTCATCAAACATCATTACTTTTGTTTAACTTGGAATATTAGTTAAATGGATTTTATAATCATGTGAAATTTGGAAGCTTAAAGGATCCAAAGTAAGATTGAATAGACAAAAGGCAGTTCATGTACTGCAAATCATATTTTGTTTTTTTTGTTAGACACCCCAAAATTTAACTTCCACTGTAAAAGTAGTCGTGAGTAGCAGAGAGCAGAGCTATAATTAGAAATTCAATTCCAGAATGTTTTTGACATAAGATGTCTTTTTTTTCTTTCCTCTTAATTCATTAGCAGGAGTGAGGAGTCTTTCAGGTCTACATGCATCTTAGTTATATCTTACTATATAAAATTTTATGCCTTCTGCAGTGACTTGAAAGCTATAGTGTTGAAATCCTTCTTGTCTGTGTTCCAAATAGATGTCATGCATATGAATCCAGAGCCACCCAGCTAGATTAGCAGCCTTATGTATCACTAGTTTATATTAAATTTACTTAAATATATGAACATGTTGTGCATGCACGTGTTCATGATGTTCTGCGAACGAACTTTAAAGAGGAACATATTCAGTTAGGCATACCGATATTTTTTAATCAATCATGGGCAGGGCCATATAGTCGGTGTCATCGGTGTAGAAATAGGCATGAAATATCATTATGTATTTTGTTCTCATCACAGTGACAATAAACATCGGCATGACCATGGGAATACATGAAACCTTGTATCATATTCAAAATTCATCTCATAATATTAAAATTTTTCAAAAACGAGGAATGTGGAGTTTAATGTATGAATTACCTGCATTCAATGGAGATTGATCCACTTTAATACAAAGCTACTTTTAGGACAGTCATTTACATTTTGATCTTCTGCGTGAGTTGCATTTCTGTATATATGGGCTGAAAACTGTTGCAATTTATTGCTATATATATATTCGAATTCGATTTTATCATATGAGTAATATCTTAACTCTTTATTATGATTATAAACCAACCATTTTGCATTGCTATTTATGAATCTGAGACAGTAGAAAATGTTTGATTTGCTAATCATATAATTTTAGCTTTGTGATTTCTATATTTTGCATTTATAGGTTTGATATTCCTCTTTCGCACCCCAATCAACCCCTTTTGAAAGCGAAACAACTTTTTGTTTTGAAGAACTTGCTTCGAAAGAAGGGATATTCAGGTATTGATGTATTTATTTGCACAATGGTATTGTCACATGTTGCTTGCACAGTAAGTTGAGCTCTGTCAGTTGCAACAACGAGGTGAGTTGTTCATGTCAGCTTGAATTGACCATGTGATGGCGAGCATATTTTCCTGTATTAAGATGGTATTATTTACGTCTAGCTAGTTAAAGATCCTATTCATGATTTGTTATATTTTTTCCGAGTAAGCTAATCAGAGTTTTAGTGTTACTTAAGATCGTAATGAGTCTTGTTGTAAGGTGATTGATTTATGTATTTTCTTTTTTCCCATATATACTACTTGCAACACCTTTCTTACCAAGACATATGCACAAGAACAAACACACCCATGCCCCTTCTCTCCCTGTATAGTTTGCATTAGCGATAGGCAGCCCATATGCACGAGTGCATTCACAAACAAAAATTAAAATGGCTTGTTATTTTGTTGGCTGAGATGTGTTGGGTAGATAAAGGAACTGTTGAGATGAACACAAGTTCGGTGAAGGACTCAACACACACACACACACACATGATTGATCTCCTAATTATGCTAAGTACTGGATGACATGGCACACTACAACAAGTGGTGGGAAATAATGTTGGATCCCAAAACTGATTACAGTTGTTGGTAATTAGTGTGTTATGTCACCGTGCTTAGCATAAGCTAAGCAACGGTGCTTAGGAGATAATTTTCATATATTGCTTAACTTATGCTAAACACTAGTGACATGACACATGAATTAATTGGTGGATAAGTTTATGGTGGTCCCAGGAATTAAATGATCCACCAATTAATTGATATGCCATATAACTATTGCTTAACATAAAATAAGCAACGGTGCTTCGTACATCATTTAAATTAAGAGTTGAGTTTTTTTGTCAAAAACCTTGGTAGGTGGAAAGCTCCCTATATATATTGTACTTTTGTGGATATTCTTAGTAGCATGTAAGAGTTTATAGATAATAAGTGCTCATAGATTTTGTCCATTCATGTCTATCACACTGCTGATGCTAAAGCAGGGAATAATTGAAGGAACCGCTAAATAGTATGTGCCTGCTGTGTTCCTTGAGTTTATATTGGCAGCTGGCAATTTTTTATTGCTTGGTTTTTTCATGTTATTATTTTACTTATCAGGTGATCTTGTTTTCCTCCTACTTCTGTATTGGAAATGTTGGATTGTATATTTACTACTATTTTAAACAGAATCGCGTGAAAAAGAGGAACACTTCATCGAATTACCTCCTGAGATTTGTCAGTTGAAGATTATTGGGTTCTCTAAAGATATTGGAAGTTCATTGTCTCTTATACCATCTATCATGCATCGCCTTGAAAGCTTGCTTGTGGCAATTGAATTGAAGGACAAGTTATATGCTTCATTCCCTGAAGGAGCTGAAATTACTGCTAACCATGTAATTTTTCATTCTTAAACCGTGTATAGTTATCCTGTCTTGATTGGCATTATGTGAGGGTAACATGCTTGTGATTTCTGTGAAAATGTTTAAGATTCTTGAAGCTCTCACAACCGAAAGATGCTGTGAGAAATTTTCTCTTGAAAGGCTTGAAGTGCTTGGGGACGTATTTCTTAAGTTTGCAGTTGGTAGACATCTCTTTCTCAAGCACGATGCCCTAGACGAAGGGCAGCTGACCAGAAAGCGTTCTAACATTGTAAAAAATTCTAATTTACTCAATCTGGCTACAAGAAATAACTTACAGGTAACTGCTGTAAATTTTGTGATCTCAAGTTGCTAAAAAATATGAACCATGAAATCTTACCACTCTCATACCTCCGTTCCCTTTTATACATATTAGAGATGTTGAAAAATCCGACCTCTCATCCCTAATTTTTGTGATCTCAAGTTCCGTTTTAAAAATGCATGAAAAATCTTAGACAAGCATAGTCCTACAAATCACAATGAACAATTTCATTGGTAGTTTTGTCTTCTGAAAAATGTAACTGCCATACTCCATTCCTTCTCGAAAGGTTTGCACAACTGTTGACTAGTTTGATCACTTTATATCCATGTTCAGGTATATATACGTGATAAACCATTTGAACCTCTCCAATTCTATGCATACGGTCGTCCTTGTCCTGTAATTTGCAACAATGAGGTTGAAAAAAGTATACACTCTAGTTACTATAGTAAGACAAACTGTACAAGTATTGAAGTTAGATGCAGCAAATGTCATCACTGGTTGCGCAAGAAAACCATCGCAGATGTTGTTGAGGCACTTGTTGGAGCTTTCTTAGTTGATAGCGGCTTCAAAGCGGCAGAGGCATTTCTAAAATGGATTGGGATACATGTAGATGTGACTGAGCAGCAACTTGACAAAATCTGCCTTGAAAGCATGGCATTTCAGCCCCTATCTGATCTGACTGATATTAGTACTGTTGAGAGACTGTTAGGATATGACTTCGTCCGTAAGGGTTTGCTCATCCAGGCCTTTGTCCATCCTTCTTATAACAATCACTCGGGAGGTTGCTACCAGGTATGCACTTGCTTTTGCTGTATAGTGAATTTCAATATGTCATTAAGTATCTTTGTTTCCATGACCAACACATTTTATGTTGCTTAAACCAGAGACTTGAGTTTCTTGGAGATGCTGTCTTGGATTATTTGATCACGTCCTATCTGTATTCAGCGTATCCTGAATTAAATCCTGGACAGTTGACCGATTTGAGATCAATGTGCGTAAACAACATTTCATTTGCTGACGTAGCTGGACGATGGTCTTTCCATGAATTCATTATCTGCGAGTCTAAAGATCTCCGCGATTCCATGACCAAATACGTGAACTCCATTGGAGCATCAGCATCAGTGGAGGGGCAATTTGTAGAGCAAACTTGTCCGAAGGTTGTAATACTGCGTCCTCATTTGTATATTCATATGCTATTTTAAGATCCTGTTCCTCTGAAATAATGTCCTTAAAATGAAGTACTTAGTGTCTATGTTCGTGACTAAACTCCAGTATTCATCCTATTCTACCTTAAACTTTGTGAACCTTACAACGTGGTGAAAGTAAATTAACAAAAAATGATCAAAAGTTACCTGTAATATATTTAGTTTCATTTGTGAACAGATGACATTACCAGTGCATGTTCATTTTCTTCCTCCAGTTTGTTGTGTATTTAAAAAAAATGAAAATACACTAAAAATAAATCTCAAACTGCAGAAAAGTTGAATCCAAATTATTCATGATTTGCCAATATTGCTTATACACAAGTTTGGAATTATTATGTTTATACTACTATATGGTCATTGTTTCTATAGAAGAATAAGGATGACATTGAAAATGAGGTTTCTGTGATATGATGTGTTGAAAATTATTTACCGAGATCTACGGGTGGAATTCTCCGTAATATGTGAATATTTGAAAATATATTTTTAACTTTCAATTTTTTCATGTATGATTGTGAACTGATTTTGCAGTTAATGTTAGTCTCATAGACTACTGGGGTATGAATGATTTGTGACTGATTAGAAGGTATCATAAGAGGAGATATTTCTTGGTCAGACCCATGGAAAACAAAGAAAACTGATTTCATTGTGTTATTGGTTCAGGCCCTTGGAGACTTGGTGGAGTCTTATATAGGCGCCCTGTTTCTTGACACGAGGCTCAATTTAGACCGTGTTTGGGAGATAATGTTATCTTTGCTGGATCCTATAATTGATATTTCCAAGTTGCGGTTTAATCCTCTTAGGGAACTTCGTGAACTTTGCCAATTCTATTACTGGAAGTTGCAGTTTCCTTCCTCAAAGAAAGATGGTAAATACTCGGTTGAAGCGAAAGTGAAAGGAAATGACATTTCTGCAACTGCTTGCGCCACTAGCTACAGCAAAAAAACTGCCAAAAGAATGGCTTCCCAACAAGTATTTGCAGACTTGAAGGTGATTTTCTTGATTATCCAAAATTATATTATTTGTTTCTAGTTTTCATTTACTTTTCTTATACTATTGTTGAGAATTCCCCGATTCCGCTTAGGTTATTATTTTCCAATCAAGTTGCTAGTGGTAAATTGCTGATTGCTTCCAACATGCAGGGTCAAGGCCATAAATTAAAGTCCAATCCGTTGGAGGAAGTGCTTAAAAAACATGAAAAGAAGGAAGCCAAATTGATTGGATATGATGACAAACCATTTCTTACTTCTCAATTTGGTGACTTGAAGTTGCATGAATCAAAAGTCAGTTCTCTCGAGGAAATGCCCCAAATAAATTTTGATACCTATTTGAAACCAAGTAGACAGCCTCCTTTGTCCAACAAGGCTTCTGGGCGCAAGGGTACACGGATCATTCAAATTAGTGGCTCCAATTTTGATTCCCCTGCCATCCGTCTAAATACTGACTCCAATTCAGATTCACATGAAACAGGTACTTGACCTTAATGATATTTACTTGCTTGGCGTTCAGATTTCATTGCAGCTTCTTACTTTAAAAATAATACCTAAGGTGCCTTCCACAATGGCTCGGCAAAGTCGCGTCTCTATGAAGTATGCGCTGCTAACCGTTGGAAACCACCCATTTTTGAATGTTGCAAAGAGACCGAACCAAGCTACAGAAAAGAGTAAGTTTATCAGCTTTACAAATTATATTCCTTAGCATATAAAGAATATCATCTATGTTTTGTATGATGACTAAGAACGTGTTTGGCTTATCTTAAAATGTCCAGTTAATAAGTAAATAACTAAGTTTAAAATAAATAATCTCGACAAAAGAGGTCAAGCCGATAGGACCTACTCGAACAATCACTATAAGTAATGCAACTATGAATCTCATGGAGAGTTCGATCCTGGCTCAGGATGAACGTTGGCGGCATGCTTAACACATGCAAGTCGGACGTTATATAGTTTAAATCCTATATCTACTCAAAAATCAGTGAAGTCCAAATATCTCTTTTCTTTGCGGATCATTTTTTTGAACATTGAAATCCATAATATAAAGGTGGTTACGGTTAAAGTTGAAAATAAGTGAAGTTACTTATTTTGACCATATGATAAGAGTTACTTCCGAATAAGTAACTTTTTTAATTCAAAAAAGCAAAAAAGATAAAAAGACAAAAAGGGTAAACATGCTCTAAATTCTTGCTTCATGGAAATGTTGATGTGTGGGAAGTAAAATTTTCAAGTTCCTTGTTCTGTGAGATCTTATCAATTGAGTAAGCCANGTTAACCGCGGCCCGTGGGGGTGCAACCCGCGAAGCCCGCGGGTTACACCTCCTTGACCCGTGAACCGCCCGCACGGGTCACGGGTCGGCCCGCGGTCCCGGTTTTCACGGGCCGGTTTTTACGGGTCATGGCCGGCCCGTCCGTCTTGACACCTCTATGTTGATGTGTGGGAAGTAAAATTTTCAAGTTCCTTGTTCTGTGAGATCTTATCAATTGAGTAAGCCAAGCAAGTGACAGCAACATAATGACTAAATAAAGTGGCAACTAATAAATTTCATGGGGTGATAATACGGGACTAAATGCGGATCTTAATTGTATTCTTTAGCTTCCTTAATTTACGAAAGTTTCTATGTTAAGAGTTATGTTTACTGGTCTCGGATTTTTGGGAAGTTTATGGCGTCTATATGTTCAAGGCAGTATAGTTAACGAAAGCATCTCAATGCTGAGAGTGGTTGATGTGTTAACAGATTCACTTTCAAGGTGGTGATGGAAATTGATGAAATGGCAGATGAGACAGTTGAGTTTTATGGAGAACCTCGGGCGAAAAAGAAAGATGCAGCTAACAGTGCAGCAAATGGGGCACTTTGGTACTTGAGAAATGAAGGATTTTTAAGGGGTAAATACTAGGATATTAGGTAAGGATTTGGTAAAGAGGGGAATCAGTTAGACTGTCTTTTAAATGTATGGTGTTTGCATGGAATATTATGACTACTGCTGATGAGTCTAAATATTATACTTATCTTGGCTATCAAAAGCTAAGAAGCATGGATAAACTTATCGTGTACCGGTATTCGACATGTATCTAATTTAAACACGCTTAGACACTCTTTGATACGTACCTAATACATAGTTTTTAAAAGTTATGGTATGTGTACACTTCTACTAGATGTTTGTCCAAGCCATTTGTGGTTAGCATTATTTTTTCGTTCAGAATTATACTCAAACAAGGAAACTTCCTTTCCGACCATTATTTGCATGATTTTTAGAGACTTTTGGGACTCCTTGAAGACTCGTATAAATACCAGTTATCAACTCTAAGTTAAGGGGGTTTAATATACCATTCCATTCATCTCATATTCATCATATAATCCATCTTTATAGAGTAAAAATTAGGATTTTCATTGCAGAGTTCATCCAGGTTGAAGATCAAACACGAAAATGGTTTGTACTGTTTGATTTTCTTGATCTCCGAGTAATGAATTCCATCTTTTGTATTAGTTTGTTTCTTTATCATACTAGGCTAGATTTACTACTTCATTTACAGAACTTACACTCAACAGAATTTCACATAATCTTCTACAACAAACACGTTTAATATTATTGTATAATTTTTATATTTTTGATACATATCAAACACCTTGTAACAAATGGAAGAAGAGTTTTATTGATTTTAAACTTTTTTCAAACTCATTATATTGTTATCAGCAATAGAATAAAGTTTTTTTTTTTACTTAATAGATAACAATAATATCTATTAGTTAACAATTTCGAATAAATTAAGTATTTTTAGATAGTAGATAATTATACAATTTACACTTACTATTGTAAATAGTTACGCGCACGCGCGCACACACACTATACGAGTTTTTGGCAGTAATTTTATGAACGAGATATTTAACATTATGTATTTTTTTTTTATTTTAGGAAAAAATACAGTATTTGACGAGAACGGATGAAAATAAATAGTAATTAAGCAAAATGATCAAAATTGGACATTTTGAAAGTTGAGAACCAAAGGGTCACGATTGAAAGTTGAATGACCTCAATTGTAATATCTAAGGACTCAATGCGAATAAGAAAGAAAAACACAGGGACCACATTATAAAGTTAAATTACAATTTACTGCAAGTTAATATATCCTAATTGGACTAAAATTTTAGTTCCGTATCCCCTTGGGACTATTTTAGACCTAAATTAGGTCTATAAATAGGAGTCTTTCATTCAACTAAGACTAGATTTTTATTTTTAAGGCAAAATTACAGTTTTATATACATAAATCCCTCAAGGTTAGTACATCAATTTGGAATTTGAAGATTGAAGAACGCTACTGACCGAGATATATACAATCGATATATGAAGACTCGAAGTCATTGTTGGAGTTTGGGTGCCACAAATCAACAATTGCTTGGATTAAATACTCTATTCATTGTATTAAACCCGATTATATTTTTTCATTTCTTTATTATTTTTTTTCAAAAATATCATTGGCAAACTTTCTTATTGTTAGGATGAAGATATAACTTATGTTAATATTTATTTAATTCAATAGATTTATGCCAATTTGATTATGTATTAATTGCTCATCATGTGCCAAATTAACATTCAATTGTTTTTATCACAAATTGCATGGTCTAAGGATAAGATGAGATATATTTATCTAGTTCATACAATAAGGAACATAAGTTTTGATAAGACATCTACAAACATTTTTATAACTTATGCAATTGTAATTGAATATAATTTTAACTTACTAAAATGTGCTGTACGAATTTACATAAAAACATAGTAAATTCAGGCATGTAACTATGGTTAGTTTTGTTCGAGAGAGATTACAATTAAAATTGATTAATTCGACTGTTAATGCATATAAAAAATGGGCTAGTTGATAAATTATATGAATGTTAAATAATTTAAGTGAAATTTGAACTCCTAACCATTCAGTCCTCCACAAACTCGTTAAATTAGAACATGTTGCTATAATTTAGTTAGAAACATAAACACTTGAATTTGATAATTAGTTACTAAATAAATTTAGATTGAAGTTAGATGATGAAAAATTAGCAGTAAATACTTAGTCCGTGCGGGTACAATAATTGAACTAAAAAATTCAATTTATTACTTGTTACAATTCGTACACTTGTCGAATCAATCGAACATTCGTCGTATGAAAAATCTTAAATTTCGTGGAAATTTTGTCTATGATCTATACCATATTAGAATGGAGTAGATAGACTGGACACAATATTTTTACTTTTCTTTCTAAACCTTAAATTATTTTTATTTTTTATTTTATTTTTTTTGTTTGGGGGAGTGGAGGAAAATGAGATATAAATGCTTGAATTGCTACCTTATTAAGCCTGATTGGGCTCCACTAAAATGAGATTTTTTTATTTTTTATTTTAGAAAAATGAATTTTAAAATTGTGATTTTTCAGAAAATATGTAGTTAAAAAATAAAAAAATGTTTTAGATTTAGGTGTAACATTTGTAACGATTAAGTTCAAATTATCAACCACTTTCAATCAACAAAACTAGAAATAAAAGTGTACAAATCAATAGAAAATAAGTAAAGAACACAAGATTTTCGCCTTAAGGCAAGAGGTTTAGAACCGGAGTTCCGAATCCCATTTTGAGCTTCCGCCAACCGGAAGAAATCATTATATTAACCGAAACCAAGAAACCGTTCAAAAATTACACCAATGCACTCAAACGAAATCACCCAAAATTATATCAAAAGAAAGCCCTCAAACTAATAGAAACAGAGATCCACTCAAGGACACAACAATAGCCCTTTACAAATCAGTCAAGATCTATACAAGAGACTACACATATTATAAGATCAAAAAGGCTTTCCAAATTTCAGAGTGCAGAAGAACAGAGAAGATGAAACGAACAGAGAGTTCGAGAGAGTATGAGAGAATAAATCAAAACCCATCAAACTCAAACTCTAAGCGTAAAATAAGAAGTGTCCAGAAGGTTGGCCTATCCAACAGTTCATGGGGCGACACTTATCGACATCTTAGCCATCTAGCCTTGAGAAAAATGCATAAGGTAAAACACGATTTCAACCGGATGAAAACATAAGCCACCAAATAATCCAAGAAATAACAACAGTCCAGCCCAACAAAAATTGGCCCAACACAATAATCTGATCAACAATCATCATTGCGCCATTTTTCCACAATCTCCACCTTGGTACAATGATCCCAGTTTCATTTATAGTGATTTCTCCATCATGGCATCTGTACGATGGATTTCGCGTATTAAAATACAGAAATTGTTACAAATTGTATTTTGATAAATAAAAGTGGATATGAACCTTCTTGTAATCGCAAAAATGTAAAATCCTCTTATTAATGATCTGAATGTTTGAAGACGAGGAGTCACGTAACTTGAATCCAAGGCTTCGAAATTTATTGAGAATTTGATTTGTCGAGAACTTGACTTGTTTGATACTTAAATTTCAGAGATTGGATTTGCACTTCGAAACTTGGACTTGATCTTGATTTAATTCGAAAAATTTTTTGATCTTCTTAGATTTGCTTGATTTGAAGAAGACTTTGATCTTCTTTGTGTTCGCCGGATTTGGAATTGAGAGAATTTCTTCTTTTCCTTCGATTGTGGGATTTTTTCAGCACTTCGTGATTTTCTTCTACCTTTTTCACCTCTCCCTCTTCTTATGACCTTTGGTCCTATTTATAGGAGAAATTCGTGACCAATTTTGGTAACCACTCAATTAATTCAATTAGAATTGATCATAATTAAATAATGTGGATTTTGAAAGAGTGGGACGGGCCTTTAAAATTTTATGGACCTTATTAGGCTTTAATTTAGTAAATTTAAGGGGTACTTACAAAAATACCCTTAAAATTAAGAGTGTTTTGAAAAATCATGTGAAAGATTTTTAGGAAATAAAAAATACTGTGTAAAATGAAAAAGTGACACAATGTCACTTTTTTTATAAAAAAATGTCACTTTTTTACACAAACTCAAAAAAAGTGACAAAATTTAAAAAAAAGTGATAAATACTTAAAAAAGTGACAAANAAATCCAACCGTTGAAGCCGTCATTGTTGACTTCCTGTGAGATGTTGGGCCCCGCAAAACGTTCCAAGAATTGATGAAAATCTGAAAAGAATTTTTAACAGACAGCCTCTATATATACAGAAAATTTAACTAAAAAAAAATTATTTATAAAAAAAAATTATCCAGAAAAAAAAAAATTTACCTCAATGTATTGGCTGACACAATCATGGGTAAAATCAAAAACTTTTAGGCCATTACATTAAAAAAAAAAAAAAAAAACAAAAAAAAAAAAAAATTATAAAAAAATAAAAAAAAAATAAAAAAAACAAAAACAATTAAAAAGGGAAAAAAAAAAATAAACTAAAAAAAGAAATAAAAAAAAAAAAAAAAAAGTAAAAAAAACACAAAAAAGTAACAGAAAAAAAAAAAAATAACAAGCACCGAAAGAAATAATAAAAATTCAAAAAAAGTAAAAAACATTAAAAAAAAAAAAGTCACAAAGATAAATGGAGTTCATTTTCGTTGTGCAGTTATAGAGTTCCCATTAATGCTTTCAAATTCAGACTTCCAATAAACTCTGCTAATTGGACAAATTTATTGCTTGTGGATGAACAGAATTATTTCAAACAAACTAGTCAAATGAAGACAACAACTATGCTTACAACAGGAAGTGCTCTCATAAGCAAATTAAAATTGAAACTGGAAGTGCTCCCATAAACTAATCAACTACAACACTCTCAACAGAAGTGAAACGTTTCCATGTTGTTACATTTTTTCAAGCAGCTTCCTTAGAACATCGCAAGTAGAGAAACAACTTTCAAGAGCTTCCTTAGAACATCAAAAGTCAAACTGGCAAGCAGTTCTTATCTACAAGAAATCGAAG